GATTTTCAATGAAGAAATAGAAATGGAAATTGTATCTTTTTGTGTGTGTACATGTATGGGGCACAAGGTGAAGTTCAGGCGTGTGTGGATGGAAACATAAAGCCAGCACCCCCATCCCTGCAGGCAGATGCAGCATGCTGTCACTGATGTGTTGCCTCTGAAGAGCTGACCTCATAGAATAAGTTTAATTGTGAAGCCGGGGATGGGCTGCGGGTTGAGGGGGGAAGGGGTGGCACAGGAAGGAAAGGGGGGCTTTGGTCACAGAGAACAAAGTTTCAGACAGGAAGAAGCCCTGACATCCATTGCATGGTAGGGTGACCAGGTTAAGGAGAATGTAGAGCACATTTCAAAATACCTGGGAGTCCACTTCCGATGTCTCCTTGCCTTTAGATTGGAGAGCAAGAAGGCCCTGAGCTTTGGGGATCCTGAAATGCAGTATCAGCCAGGCATGGACTCCCAGTTGCCTTAGAAGCCAAGAATTTTTATCCTAGTTAGCTTTTACTGGTAGTGTTAGCCTATTTAGTACCCCAGTTAGTATAGTTTGTTAGTGTTCTCAGCATAAAGACTCTAGTTTCATGTGGCCTTCAGAGGCCACCCAGCCACAGAGACCGCACTGGAGCACGGTCTGGAGCCTCAACTGGGCTACCTCTGAGCCTGGACTGTGACTCTTGTCACTTGTCCCCTCCCTCCTCTTCTCTGCCTGCTGTGGGGGAAGGGAGATGGTTCTCAGTCACTCTTGTTTCTCCCAAATCAGTACAAATAAAGCCTATTATAGAAAGCTGGGTCCTGGGTATTTTGCTGCTGTGTGTCCTCCCTGCAAGCTGGGGCTGTGAACTCCCTGGGTTAGGCAGCAGGAGCGGCGTAGGCCTTGGAGTTAATCTGAAACACTCAGTGGAAAGGGGCCTTGAGGGAACTACCAAGGTCACCCCAGCGGCAACACAGGAGGCTCTGGGTCGTGTGCAGGACAGAGACAGCACCAGTGTGTGGCCTCGCACATGGACTTTACTTGGTTAACCTCTCTAGAAGGAACAATGGGGACTTGGGGTCCTGCTGGCCTGTGTTGATAATG